CTTAAGGTTAAATGCCAAAGCTACATAGCCATCTAGAGGAGGGTATGTCAAATGGAGGGTGTCAATTCTTGTATTTGCTCCTAGAATTGCTTACTTGCTCAGAGCAAGCCAGCTGGAAGGTCAAGCCAGATTCTTCTCTTTGATAAAAGAGTCCCTTGTTGAGGTAGGCCTTGGCAGGTGCCCAAAGAAACCAGCTCCTGAAGTTGATCCTCGGGAAAAAGATGATGTTAGTAATGATCTGCTTCACAGCAAAATTTTATAAGACAATCTGCTGCCCTGTGCTAGCAACCTTTGAGTTCTTTTCAGTCCTTGATCTATTTATAGACAGAGACTAACATGAGTTGAAAAGACCAACAACTGCTGAAATGATCAAGGCTTAATTTAAAATGCACTAGATTTATTATCTCTTATGGGGGCAGAAAAGCAGATTAACTAGGTTCTTAGAGCTAACGGTATTGGTTTTTATGTTAGTATTTATACACCACTCCATTGAAGTCAGGCAGTATCTAGACCAAAATAAATAATAAAACTGCCCATGTTCCTGTATTTCTCCCATATCTGGATTCACACAATAAATTGAGCTATAAACTTTCAAAGAAGTTAGGTTTATATGACATGCTAAGCCACATACACACAACAAAGAAGATTAAAACTAGTCAAGCTTAGCATATGTGAGTGTGCGGTTGCTAGGATTTTAACAGATACAGTTAAGCGTGGACTGTGTCACAAAATAAAAGCCTAGAGTGCCAGCAAGGGTGAATGGCTGAAATTACTTAGAAATGGTATACACCGGCTTTGAATTCACAAAGCATGGAGCATACATGACTATTACTACCTCATTCTAATCCACAGGTTGGAAGCTTGATGTGGATTAGGATCTGTGCCTATACATGTACAGGTAGCCTTCAACTTATGACCACCATTGAGACCAAAATTTACGTTGCTAAGTGAGAAATTTGTTAAACGAGTTTTGCCCCATTTTACGATTTTCCTTGCCACATTTGTTAAGTGAATCATTGCAGTTGTTAAATTAGTTAAGTGAATCCGGCTTCCCCTAGTGACTTTGCTTGTTAGAAGGTCACAAAAGGGGATCGCATGACCCAGGGACATGGCAACCATCATAAATGTGAGTCAAATTATCAAGCATCTGAAATCAATGGTGGGATTCAAATATGTGAAAAACCGGTTCTCTGTGTGGAAGTCCATCCTAGGCCTGGGCAACAAAAAATTAGCTACCGGTTCTGCCGAAGTGGTGCGAACCGGCTGAATCCCACCACTGATCCAAATGTAAAGCATCATGTGACTATGGGGATGCTGCAAAGGTCGTTGAGTCTGAAAAATGGTCATAAGTCACTTTTTTCAGTGCCGTTAACTTCAAATGCTCACTAAGTGAATTGCTGTAAGTCAAGGACTACTTGTATAAGACTATAAACCCTATAAATATGCAGTGTCAGTTCGCACTGAGCATTCAGTTTATTGGCTGAGGATATGCAACCGCTTCTTGCGTGCTTTCACTGTATGCAGTTGAAATGAGGAACATAGTGTCCTTCAGACATTGTTTAAGCATTATTCCTCATTGGCTACACTGGCTGGGACTGCTGGATTTCAATAATATCTGGAAGGATACAAGTCAGACAGATACACACACACACACACAGACAGAGAGAAAATGGAGCATGAACTTAATGGGGGGAAGCTTTCTTGCATGCGGATGAGACAGACTAGTAATTAGAACGACAATTTCCCCTGATTCTGTAGCGGAATACTTTGGTTTGTGGGTAACCAGGAAGAAGATTCTTGGTCAAAGTAATCTGCAATAATCTCCTTTTACCATCAAGGCCAGTTTTACCCCCGTTTAGCTCTTTTCCTTAATCCAGTGCCTGGTTCCAGGAAAAGCAGCATATTCTCAATACTCCTGACTTTACAATTTCAGTGCTTGTGATCCTGCCACAACTTTTGTTAAATGTAAGCTAAAAGGGGTTGCAATCAGAAAGTGATGCAGACTCTCAAATTAAAATACGAAAAATTTTAACTGAATTATATTTAAAACCTACCGGTATGTGTTTTTTTTCCAAACTCATGGGTTGGTATAGGACTTTTGTTGCTGTGAGGTTAATGGGAAGAGAGGGTTAACATACAACACTTAATCTCCCTGTCTTCCCCCCACCCCAATTAAGCATGCTGTGAAAACAGGGCCATAGAGCTGGAAGAAGCTATTTAAGGCATTGAATCCAGCCCTTTGCTCTCGGCAGGATCCGAAAAACTGAAGTTTCACAGCAAATTTGTATCCAGCCTGTCTGTAAATATCCAGTGTAAAGAATCCCACCACCTTGCAAGGAAAGTATTTATTTCAAAGTTCTTCCCATTTGGTCTGGATTTCAAGGAGGCTTACATAGGGAGGCCTCCCCATAATAGCCCAGTGGGAAGAGGATTGGGCAGACAGGAAGAGCCACTGCCTCAAGGTCTACCAGGAAATTCTGTGGTCGAGTGGAGATTTGTCCCTGGCTCTTTTCCATTCCCCCCTCACCACCACCCCCAGTCCAACAGCGGAATTGCTTGCTTGCATGGTAGTTCTATTACTGAACTATTCTTGCCATTAGGCATATGTGTGCATGACATGTGAGCGTTCTTCACATTGGATGCAGCTTTTCATCAACAGGATACTGAAGAGAGAAGATGGTCTTTCATCCAATACTACAAACTTCAGGGCCAGATCTTGGTGGAGAACCTGGAAGAGACATTCTGCAAGGCAGACTGAAAGAAGAGCATGTGGGCTGGAATGTGGAGAAAAGTAGCCATGGGCATTCTCCTCCAACTCAATCGTTTCAAAGATTTTTTTCTTCTTCAGAGTAGAGACCTGCATATATAACCTTCCCAACCAACACTGATCTGCAGTCTTACAACTATAAGTACAATCGGCAATGTTGTCAGTCCCATTTCCCTTGCAGTTTCCTGCTTCTTCCAAACATGTCATTTTAAAGAGGGGGGGGGAAGGGGGAAAGCCTCAGTCAAGGCAAAAGTTTCTCTTTAGCTAGGGTCAGCCTGGATTATATTTCTTGTGTTCCACCTTTTCATTTTCCTAAGAAAAGAAGGGAGGGAGGGAGCATGATGGATCCCATCTCGGGCTTCTGAATGAAAAGGTGTGGATGAAATGTAACAAATAAGAGGAACAGGCTTCTGCCTAGGAAAGTTGTGGCAGATTCTGTAGGGTGGGTTAGGCAAACTCTCTTGCTTTGGCCTAGTAAAATGACTTATTCTTATATTTATCAGATCTACACTCTGCAATCTTCACTGCAGATTACTGGAGGTATACTAATTTTTTCCCCATGTTTCTTTAAATTGCTACAGTCTAAAGCAGTGGTTCTCAACCTGTGGGTCGGGACCCCATTTGGGGTCGAACGACCATTTCACGGGGGTTGCCAAACAACGCAGTCCGCCATTTCCCCCCCTTTTCCTTAGCTGTGCTACTCCCTTTTATTCTATTGGCTTTTGAAAACCAATAGAATAGACTCTCTTGAATAGAGTCTAATTCTATTGGCTTTCAAAAGCCAATAGGAATTGTCCATGCTGTCTCTGCCCTGCTGAGCCCGCCAAAAGTCCCATTCTGCAAACGGTGCTGCACCAGTTGAGTAGTCCTCAACTTACGACCGGTTGAGTAGTCCTTGACTTACGACCGGTTGGGGGTCGCGGCATTAAAAAGGTTGAGAACCACTGGTCTAAAGAAAAAGCTGAAGTCCATCCTGTCTCACATGACTGTGGGAAACAGCTTTTCTGAGACACTTTCGGATGAGTGATGAAGCTGTTGAAACCCTTGGTTTTCCATCTTTTGCTTCATTTTGAGGGACATGCTTTGGGGCCAAGCTGGAAAGTACACCATTATTTTGTGTGTTGAAAAGTAGCCAGACTTGATGCATTGAAGCAGGTGTTAGGCTTAGCACCACAATATTGTGCTGAATGCACAAACCTGAAAATAGTTTGATTCAATAAACTTACCTTTGTTTATCCTTAAACTCCCCAATCAATATCTCCCAAACTTGACATTAGCATGAAAGACATCTCATTTATATAACTGCTCTGACATTTTCAATGAGTTGCTTGGTTTTATTTCATGGCACATCCCAGCAGCGTAACTACTAATTCTGGCCCAGCAGCATATACCGCAGCTAGGTTTGTTTTCTAACAGGTTGAGCAATTTACTAACCCACCTGAACTACTAGTTTTTCTTTCTTTTTTTTTTTTTTGCCTCGGCTCAGATTATCAATCTCCCACTCTTATTTTGTAGCTAGATCGAGAGAGACCCAGAAACAGCTAATTCCTCCCAAATCAATTTAATTGCCACTGCAAGACAGCTGTCAACTCACAACAGATTCACGATTTCGCTCTTTACTGCCACCGGCAATATCCCGTGTTCCCCCCCCCCGTGGCCCCCTCTTAGCTACCACCGCTGGATACACATGGTGAAGAAGGAAAAAAAAAACATGGTTGCGATGGGATAGCCGAAGAGTCCTTGCTCGGGCAAGGACTAGGGTGCAAAACTTGAGATCCGTCCAAGCACATTTTGTCCACTGGGGAAAGCACGCACCCTGCAAAGGTAAAGAGAGCGCGTGCGCGCGCCCCAGCCCACAGGGGGGCGCGCTCTGTCAGGCAGTGTAGGGAGCAAGCGCCGTCCCCCTCCCTGCCTTCCTCCCCCCCCCCCATTTGGAACTTTGCTGACTGCAAGGTTCTGAAAGCGAACGTAGCGACACACGGGGGCGGAGGCGGTAGAACGTTCGATTCTTCCTTCGTTCCATCCGGCCTGTTCCTCGAGGGAGGGGAAGAGAGGGAGTACTCGATCCCGGGTCCACGTTACCCTCTACCCCACCGTGGGAGTCGCTTGGAGGAGGGGAAAAAAGAGGCCTCGGCAGCGCCACCCTCAGGCCGTCGAGTCTACTGCGCCTCCCCCTTTCTCACTCGCTCGCTCGCTCACTCTCCCCCCACCCCCCCCCCCGCTCCGACTCTCAATGTTCCACACTGCCCGGCCACAGAGCGTCCTCTGCTGCTTTATTTCCCCCCCGGCTGCTTCCATCCCCTCCAAGGACATTTTATCCCCTTCCCTCCCCCCTCCATCCCTCCCCTCCGCTCTAACATCGGCACAGGACGCCAGCGAAGGTAAAGGAGAAAAGGGTTAGGTGGCTGCATCAGGAGCCTGGGCGAGCATGGTGGGGGGAGGAGAGAGGAGGGGGAGCGCGGGGGGGGGGAGCGAAAGAGAGAGATTGGTAGAGGGAGCTTTGTTCTTGTTTTCAGCGCTCGCTGCCTGGCGGTGGTCAGGGGAGCCAGAGGAACCGGACTGAGTTCACGCCTCACTTGGTGCGCACACACCACACTGGTCGTGGTGGAAAGCTTCCTACCATAACAGCCTCTCCATACCTCCTGGCTGGGAGCTCGGCTCTCCCTACAGAGCCAAGAGGAGGAGGAGGGGAGGGGGAGGAGGAGAAGGAGGGGGCGGCGGGGGGGGGGACGGCGACGCCGACGACAACGACGGTGTGTGTGTGTTTGTGTGTTTGTATGTGTGTGTGAAAGGGAGAGAGAGCGAGAGAGAGAGAACGAGGGCAAAGCTTCAGTTTTCTGCCCTGCTGCTGTAATTTTTGACGAGGACCATCCTTCCTTTTTCGTTTTTTTTAATTATACAATACAAATATTCAACCGCCTCCCACCCCCAAATTCATCTTTCCTGGATTTTTTTTATTATTTTTATTTTTAAGAGGGGGCAGGAAAAAAATATGTCGGTCTGTTTTGTAGAAACTGATCAAGACTCGGTGGCGTTGAAAGCTTTCCAGAAGGTGCAGTTTGAATTATGCTTCTTTTTCTTCTTCCTCCTCCTCCTTTCTCTCTCTCTCTCTCTCTCTCTCCCCCCCCCCCATTTCCAGCCTACTCTGTAGTGACCAAATGTAATTCTTGTTGATGGCCGTGCCAGCAGAACCCGAGCTGGCTGATTTCTGACTGAGAGAAAAAACATTGGAGTCTGAAATAGCAAATCCTTTCCAGCTATTTAAATAACAAGGAGACAAGAGGGAGTGGGGTCATTTATTGGTTTGGTTTGGGCCTCCCCATTTGTAGAACAGCTCAAGTATTGTTATTGGCAATATATTGGGAGGAGGAGAATATGGTTGACTTGACTCCTTCTGCTCCAGTGTAAATATTTACAGGGCATTTGTGAGGTTGTTTTTTTTTTAAAAAAGGGGGGCAATGTTTATAGCGTGTCATGAGTTATTAATGCTTATGCTTGAACACTTTGCTAAATTTGCCTCACGCCTGTAAAAATTAAATGATTGATATACTATCTGAAGAATTGTAGAGCTGAGCCTGTAAAATAAATTGAAATGTGAAAACAGAATATATATATATATATATATATATATATATATATATATATATATATATATATATATATATATATATATATATATATTCAAAAAGATCCTTCCTTCACTTACTTATGGTAACTGTTGCTCTAGTCTAGTCTATAACATGAAACTGAAACTTTTAAAAAGAATTGTTCAACCATTGAGTTGTAAGGGGGCCTGGAGAAATTCCACTCGGATTGAGTGGATTGCACTCCACTTAGTTAACTGATATTCTTTTGTCCCATTCCTTTCCTTTTGCTCCTTCCCCCAACATTTTCCAAGATGTCCAGTGATAGACAAAGGTCAGATGATGAAAGCCCAAGTACCAGCAGTGGTAGTTCAGACGCAGATCAGAGGGACCCACCAGCACCTGAGCCTGAGGAACAGGAAGAAAGAAAACCTTCTGCAACACAGCAGAAGAAAAATACCAAACTCTCCAGCAAAACTACTGCTAAACTATCTACTAGTGCTAAAAGGTAACAACTCCAAACACCTGAAATGTTGCTCCCTCTTTAGAGGAAAAGCAAGAGCAGGAGAGAAGCTTAATGAGAAGGCACTAAATATAAAGGGGCAAACTTTACGCTTTGATGAAAAGGCTTGTAATAAGAGATGGCTTTAGGGTTAGAATCTAGTTTCTACAGGGTCTCTTGCTCAGATTTCTTTGGGATCTGTTCACCCAACCCATTTGCCAGGTTGAAAATGGGGGGGGGGTGAGTTTGTGTAGGCAGGTTCTTCATCTGAGAATTACTACTATGGAAAGCAGATGTGATGATGTGGGCTGAAGCCCACTTTGTGAAGGCAATCTTCTTGCCATCTGCTGGGCTCTGGTTTGGTCCACTTGGCCCATGTGCATTTTTGCAGGAGTGACACCTTGTTGATACACATGTTCATTCAGGCAAGGAGGCCCATTACCAAATTCCCATCTTTTATAGCTGTTTTGTGAGGGAGGCACCTTGAAATAATGACCCTTTCATTGGCTGTTTTATTTTCAGTTGAGTTTCTTTGGATACTCTGAAAAAAGGATGCTTTGCAAATTACACAAATTCTGTGGTGGTTGTTTCTTTAGAGTACCCATGCAGGTCAACGTGGATGGGGTGGGGGAGTGGGATTTGTAGGTAATTGAAATGCAAGAAGGGCTATTATCTTGGCTGTCTCCTACCTTTGTGGTCCAGCAAGCTATTGATTTTCTTTTGATCTGGGAAGTTTCAAATACTTGAAAACCTTCTACAGGTTGTCCCTAAGTGAACAATATCACCATCTGCATGCAGACTTTCTCACAGCTTTGCTTTCAAAAAGCACATGTGCTTTTAATTTTCTTTAATAGCCATTTGAGTTGGCAAGCTTGAAATACCTTGAATCTTGCCTCTTTGGGGGTAACTGAGTAATCCCTTTTCCTAAAGCTCTGTTTCACCTAGGAATCCACATTACAATATCCAGTAGTCTATCTGTCAAATCACATCAGACATGTTTAAAAGTATTTTAAGCTTATTTTGTTAAAATTAGTAGTAGTTTGAACACTTAAGTGGGCCAGTATGTTTGTGAGTAAAACATGTTGCTGTCGTAAAGTAGACTTTCATTAGGAATCTTGAAATATTTCATTGTACTTTAAGCTCTGCATGCATTATGTGAGAACAGTATTAGCTTTTACCAATTTCTCATTTAAAATAATGTACTAAATTGAGCACAATCAGACATAAAATGGTTACAGTAAGTTGTTTTTTAAAAAAGGACATTAATATTTTTTTAAAAACAACTTCTAATGCATTTAAAGTAACTTGCCAGCTGCTGTCACAAAATAATTTGCACAGTATGTTTGTTGTGGAGAAAATGACTCTGAACGTTTTCCTAATATTCTGTTTGGTGTTTTGAAATTTTATCCCCACTTTTTAGTTCCATAACATGTGTAAATTGTAGGGCACGAGTCTAAGTACTTAATCCTCATCTAGTTTATATCATAATGCATTTTCTGTTAAAACAAAGCATAAATTGACTAAAATTTTACAATCTTCAATATTTGTTTCCCCTAAAATATTTTCTTTTGGGAATCAGAGACCCTCCATCCTTTTGGTATCTTTTTGTTAAATTATAATAAAACTGATTAATTTTTTTAAGTTACTGACACATTATAGTTTCTGTCCAGGGCTGATCCATCACTGATAATATCAGTATGTGTTTTATTGAACAGGGTCACTTAGCAAACCTTCAATACAAACACTGGGAGAGAGGAAAGAAAGGAAGGGGAAAACGTGCTTCTAAAGTTATCGCTAGATTTTGCTCTGATCACTTGACTGCATAGCTACGAAGTGAACTGAAATGTTAAAATTCACTGTCTGAAGTAGAGAGAAAAATCCAGCCAAAAATATTTACTGTGTAATTGCTTTTGGCTGTAACTCATTTCAGTTATTGGTACAAAGTCATTCTGAAGTCTGCTTGTATTTCCTCTTTCCCTTCCCTTGCCTCCCTTCCTGGTTTCATTTGCATATAAGATTTTTTTGTAATTAAAAAAAAGCCTTTATAAAGAATGGTTGAAAACTCCCTAAGACTCACTTGTCAGAAATCTCCGAAGGGATTCCTGCCAGGCTGAGGTGTAAATGCTCTCTCTGTTTACCATAACAGAGCAGGAAAAAAGCTGTAAAGTTTCTCTGTCCTGGGATTTGGGTTGTGCCTGTGAGAACAAAGAGGAAGCAGCCATGTTAGCAATACAGAAGGCAAAACCAATCTTGCATTTAACTGCATGGTGGTAGAGGGCAGTGTAATTCCCTGATTTATTCAACTGTCTCAAATGCTTTGTGCCTGTTCTCATTTTGCCAACAGAATTCAGAAGGAGCTAGCCGAAATAACTCTGGATCCACCTCCGAATTGCAGGTATGAGAAAATCAACTGGCCAGCCTTTGGGGGTGCTGATGCATTTGGGGGTGGGAGTGGGGTGGAATGAGGTGCAGATAAAAAAAAAGTTAAGGTGATTGAAAGATTGCTCAGCTACAGAAATGTGCCTGTTCTCCAGTATCTGTAGATGAATATAAGATAAAGCAGGAATTGTAAAAGGCAAGAGGAACAAGTGTCATCAAATGCTTTGACAGAATGCTTTGATTGTCAGTGGCACAGGGTAAATGTCATATATGTTGGAAATAATTGCCTTTGTTAAAGGTTTTGTTGTGCACATTTAAGCTAAATAGTGATGTGATCATGGATGTGATATCTTAGTTTAGGACTTAAGAGATGTTGGATATTTGAGCTTATGAAAACTTGAACTTAACCTCCATTTGGGGAAAAAAAAGACATGGTTTCCCTCTCAAACTTCATGTTTTGGTGTCAGTTTCAAAGATAATTTAAATTTCATGTTTCCAGATTGGATGACATTCTAGGATAATATAATGTAGAAATAATTTTATAGCTTTGGAGGAGATTGCAAATTATTGTGATGATCATTTTGCACAGGAGAATTCTAAGTCAGCATAGGTGAATAATTCAGTTTTTGAATGAAAGAGTTGCTCAGAAGTTCTTATATGCCAGTTGAGAAATCCCCCCCCCTTTGAAAATTAGGAGTATGCTGTTTTTTGTTTTAAAAAATTAGCAATGGGCTGCTTTAAAATTGCAGTTGTGAAATTTCCAGTGTTAGAAAATAAAGTTATTCAAGGTTGTGGCTGATACTTCTATTGATTCTTGCTCTTAATCAATTTGTTACGTACTACAGTTCTCACTGACTATTATATTGAATGCAAGCCTGGTGTGAAGGAATATTGCAGCATATTTTTTTTTGTGAACTGCTGCTATTTAATTGGATTCTGAGGAAAGGACTATCAAAGCCATGGAGGCTTGTTGTTGCTTTTCTTGTACAAGTGTGTGTGTGTGTGTATGTGTGTAATTTTCTTCCTAAAATGCTTCAATCCAAAAATGTAATAGTTATCTTTTTAAAAAAAAAATGATTAAGTCCTTCACTTTGGTGCTATAGGTCAAATGCCATTTGGAAGCTTGTGGTGCAGCAAGTTAAACTTAAACACTTGCAGGTTTTTGGTACAGTTGTCGATCTGCCAATTCACAGTCTGGCACCCACTTCTTCCAGCAGTGAAAGAGGATAACTTAGACTAGCTGTAAAGCAAATGAGCTATGGGGGTAGAACTCCTAGATTGTAGTTGTACCTGGATCATGGGGAGATTTGGGCTAGACACCTGGACAGTCTCTACACTTGGGAAAGAAAGAATAATGACATATCATGTTTTCGTAAGGATTACTGCAACATCCAAGCTTCAGCTGAAAACTGGTCTTCGTGTTTCATAAAAATAATAATAATAGTTGCGCTTTCTTTGCGCCATTTTTGTCGTCTCATTTTTCTTGGGACCATTTCTGTCGTTTCATTCGCCACTCACTGCCCATTGGAATCCCTTGGAGCTCTCTGCAAGGCTATAGTGGGTGAGCGGGGGCACGTGTGAAGAATGAACAGGTGGGATAGGCTGATCATTTTATTGCAAACTCTAAATGAGAACATTTATGGAGTATGCTGCTGAAGTCTGACTACGAACTATATTTTGCCTCAAGGGACAAACTTTTTTTTTTGGTTCTGCAGTGATATCCAGGAGAATAGATTAGTAATGCTTATTCTCCTCTGCAGCGCCACAGATTCTTTGGTGTTGTAGGCAGGCGAACTTTGCAGGGTAATAATATTCCACAAAGAGCAACAGTTTTCTCTTTTTTCTTCCTCTGAAGAAAGGACAAGGCGTAGAAGAAGAAGAGCAAATGAATGCTGAAAGAGAAAACAATAGCACATCTCCTTTTAAAAGATTATTTCCCCCCCCCCCTCTTTCGGCCTCCAGGGAATCATGTCTTTTTGTTCTTGCTGATCTCTTTGCTCCTTCATTTTTTGTGGATTCCTCTGGGGCCCTTTCTCTGGTACAGGGGCCTCAAAGAAGTGGTAAGTTTTGAGCTGGGCTAGACTTCGCAAGATTATACGTGGTGAAGAGAGAGGCAGCAGGATTGTGTGACTAACCCTTTCCCCGAGGCAGAGTCGTCTTAGAGCAGGAGCCAGGGCTAAGCACCAGAGCATGTCCAGGCCAAAAATTTATGATGAGCCAAGAGTAGCAAATATACCTCTGCTCTGACGAGGTTGCGGAAACTGCGAGTGGCGGAAACTGCGAGTGGCGTGAAAGAATTCTTTGTGTGTTTTCCAGGATAAGTAGGCCAGTTAATGGTGCCTTGCTTGAGAACTTCCCCCATGGCTGCAGCTGGCACAGGGAATTCCCCTCCCTGAATTCCTGATGGGGGGGAGGAAGAGATCAGGATGGGCTTTCCTAATTAAAAAAGGAGGGGAGGGGAGGGGAGTCCAGTTTTGGAATCCGGAGATAAAGTTCCTTGATAAAAGGAGGTCTTAAGATTGCTTGGGAAGGCTTGCAAACCCTCCCCCACCCCCCCCAAGACCTGAATACTTTTAATATTCAGATTTATCCTCTATCATTCTTGGGAAGTTCATTATCTCTGCCCAAATATCTTTATTCTTAAGTGTTCCATTTTCAGGAGGCAGTTTGATGATTCTTCTGTTAATACAATCAGTTTGGAAAGATGGATATTGAGCTCTGCTTGCAGGATGAGAGAAAATGAAGAGAAAAGTGGGTCTGCTATTAAAAATAATAATAAAAAAAGGGGGGGGGGTTTGTGAGCTCTGCTGCTTTTGTTAAGGAATGCCATCACTTTTCTTTGTATTAAAACTTGGTTTAGCTCCAGCAGGGATCTCGAAAGCTTCTAACATCTGTTTCAAAGTTGCATTTTGTCTTCAGACCCTGATTCCCAAGTATATGTGCTTTTGGAGAACAGCTCTTTTTAATGAAATAGCTGTTTTTATTTTTTTAAAAAAATGAATTCAACAACTGGGAGGAATCATTATCCTGGGTTGTATTTTGACAAATGTCACAATCTGTACTGAATGTGTGAATGGCTTATGCAAATGAAGCCATATTTTGTAACTGGAAATACAATACACAGAGTTGTGATTGTCATTGTTAACATTGCAGTGGTAAATGTGCTCTTTAATTGAGTTCAATTATTATATGAACACACACCATGCAAAGGGTATGTGTGGCAATAATGAGAAAGTGATGTGCTCCAGCTTCCTTTCAGGATCTTTCGTTATTACTGTTATTTACTTCTTTATCCAGTCTACGGTTCTGGGATTTCTTAGTGCCTTCCTATCCAGATTGGTATGGCCAAGCTTAGGTTTCCAAACTGATAGATCTGTTCTCACCTGCTGAGACCTAACCACATCAAAGTTCCTTATATCCAAATAGAGTGTCCTTAAAGCAATAAAGGCAGGCTGTGATCATTGTTGTTGTTTTATGGTGGGGATTCCAGAACAGAGATTCTCCTAAGTCTCCTTTGTTGAGTTAACATCCATGGTGCCATTTGAACCTGGGACACTTTTGTTTTTAGTAGCTGAGTTTCCTGATTGTTGCAGAGCAGGGCATAGTAGGCTCAGAGTGTTCCGATTTTGTAAGTTCTGCCTTTGGCGAGTTAGACAGAAGGATATGTTTGACTTATGGTTAATGGTAGACTTGCTGTTTCTGTTTTCTGTCTGTAGCAGTACCAGTTACCTACTGTATGTACTCCAAATGTAGAGCAATAGGTGGAGAGTGTCATCTTCCTGCTCTTTTGCAGTTTGCACGATCAAGGTTTTGCACCATGTATACACACCATTTCCAGGTATCTAAAGATTTTCCTAATGATGTCAGTCAGTTTGCAAGACGAGTTTGCGACATGTGGCCCTCCAGATTTTGTTGAGCTACAACTTCCAGCCTTCCCTAGCATTAGTCATGCTGGCAGGGACTGCTAGAAATTCTAGGTTAGCAACATCTAAAAAGCCACAATTTCCCCCCCTCCCCCGCCCTCCTCCTCCTCCCAAATGAGTTATAAATAGGGCTTCAATCACTCTTCAAGTGTATACTTAGTTTAGAATTGTAATATGGAAGAGAATAAAGATTTGCCTTGTTCTTTCTTGAAAAAAAAGGAGATCAATCTGTCTCGATTACTTAAACTAGCCTTCCCCAATTGGTGCCAGCAAATGTCTTATATTTCAGAAGAATATGGGAATTGTAGTCCAGATTTCCTTAATTGAGAAAGACAGTTTGAAAGCCTTAGTATTTTCGTGTGACGGAGATTCAACAAACATAGGGGCTTCCCAAAGTGAAAATTTTCATTGTCTGAGTGAAATGGAATCACAAACGTGGAAAGGAAACTTGGCTGCTTCTTGTGCCAGAATGATACTAATGTGCAAAGGAAATGATTGAATTACTTTAGGGTTGCTGTGCGTTATTTTGTTTGTATGTATAATTAGGGAGCCACTCTGCTAAATGTAATTGGAGATAATTTACCGTGCAGCAAACGTTGGCTTTCCTCATTGACTATGAGTATTGCAAACATCATTGCTTGCTCCTTAATACAATTACATTTAACACTCTTTAACTGATGAATGTGAATATTTTGCAGTTTGCTGACAGTTTGGATTGCCTTTTTTTATTTGTTATTGTGGGAGCAAAGTTGTCCTAATCCAGAAACGTTTGTGTTAGATCTCAATTTTCATGTCCTCGTTTCGGCTTCTGTTTTGTTCAGATTCACACTTCACATTCTCATGTAAGAATTTCTTAGATTTCACCCATTTGCTGCATTTACTTTTCACACTTAAGAGAGGTCTACTTCCTATTTTTATTTTAATCACATCTATCAAGGTTTCATTTTTTTAATATAAAAAAGAGTGTGATACTGTACATTTGAAAAAAGTGCAACACACCTATCAGACCTCTGGTGCTATTGGGCAACTTAGTTCCTATCCTACCTGAACAGTATCATTGGATCAGACAGGGAACTCCATCTTCATCTTACTC